GCAAGTGGTTAAGTGCGCCCACTCCGCTGCGGCTGCCCAGGGTTCACCCGCCCGGATCCCGGGCTCACACCGACACACTGCTTGGCAAGCCATGCTGTGGCGGCATCCCATATAAAGTGGAGGAAGATGGGCACGGATGTTAGCCCAGAACCGTCTTCTCCTCAGCAAAAAAAGAGGAGTATTGGCAGACGTTGGCTCAGGGCTGATCTCCTCACAAAAAAAAAAAAAAAAAAAAAAAAAAAAGAGATAAGTATTGGTGAGGATGTAGAGAAAAGAGAATCCTTGTGTACTGTTGGTGGGAATGTAAATGGTGCAGCCACCACGGAAAACAGTATGGAGGCTCCTCAAAAAATCAAAAATAAAACTACCATATGATCCAGCAATCCCCCTTCTGGGTATATATCCAAAGGAAATGAAAACAGAGTATCAAAGAGATATCTGCACTCCCATGTTCACTGCAACATTATTCACTATAGCCAAGATACAGAAACAAACTATCAACAAATGAATGGATAAAAAAGATGTGGTATATATATACAATGGAATATTTTGCAGCCACGAGAAAGAAGGAAATCCTGTCATTTGCAACAAAATAGATGAATTTTGAGGGCATTATGCTAAGTGAAATAAGCCAGACAAAGAAAGACAAATACTGCATGGTAGCATTTATATGTGGAATCTTTGGGAAGAAAAAAAAAGTCGAATTCATAGAAACAGAGTAGAAAAGTGCTTCCCAGTGGCTAGGGGAGTGGAGGAAATAAAGAGAGGTTGGTAAAAGAATACAAATTTTCAGCTATAACATGAATAAGGTCTGGGCCGGCCCGGTGGCATAGCAGTTAAGCTCGCGCCCTCCGCTTCTGCGGCCCGGGCTTCGCCGATTCGGATCCCTGGTGTGGACTGACACACCGCTTGTCAAGCCATGCTGTGGTGGTGTCCCATATAAAGTAGAGGAAGATGGGCATGGATGTTAGCCCAGGGCCAATCTTCCTCAGCAAAAAGAGGAGGATTGGCAATGAGTCTTAGCTCAGGGCTAATCCTCCTCACACACACACACACACACACAAAAACGATGAATAGGGTCTAAGGATCTAACGTAAAACATGCTGACTATAGATGATAACTCTATATCGTATAATTGAAATTTGCTAAGAGAGTAGAACTTAAATGTTCTCACCAAAAAAAAAAAAGGAAAGATATTAGATTGGTGGTTACTAGAGGGGAATGGGGGGGGTAGTGAAAGGGGTGACAGGGCACGTGTATGGTGATGGATAGTAATTAGACTTTGGGTGGTGAATACGATATAGTCTACACAGAAATTGAAATATAATGATGTACACCTGAAATTTATATATTATAAACCTATGTTACCTCAATAAAAAAATAAATAAATAAAAACAAACAAAAAAAAAGATAAATATGTGAGGTGATGGATGTGTTAATTAACTAGATGGTGGGAATCCTTTCACAGTTTATACATATATCAAATCACTATGATGTACACTTTAAATATTTTACAACTTTATATGTCCATTATACCATAATAAAGCTGAAAAAAATATGTAATTCACTTTTCATTTTTTATTCTCTTGTTCTCTCTCAATCTCACTCTCTCTCTCAATTAATCAATCTCTCTCTTTCTCTCACTCTTTCTCTCTCTGGGATATCACCCTGAAACATAAAAGTTTCTGGGGCAAAATTTGAACTTGTGAATCGCCAAACCTTAACTTTGTCTAAGGATTTGCATGTTATGCTTCTGCTGAACGCTGCTTAATATCATGACATGTTTTTCCCACTGCACTGAAAAACCAAAGTTAATGGCCCAATAAGTAAATGAAGACTATTTCAGAAAATGGGTTTGGATAACATGAGAAAAGTAGTGAGGTGCCCTCCTGAGGCTCTTAGAAGAGAATCACAAGCATCTACCCATTAGTCACAAAATGTGTTAGCTTGTCAGGCCAGGGCTGGAGAATTTTTCTTCTTTAAAATTACAGATAATATTTTATCTCTGGCGGAGGGAGGGAGACCACTTGATATTTAAGGGAAAATCAGTAACTATGAACATGCACAAGTTTCAAAAATTAGTCACCGGTTACCATGGTAACGCAAATATTACCTAACAACTCACTAGGCTGTAAGTAACCAAGATGATGCTAAATACATTACTTAAAAAATGGAAAGGGGCTCTATTTTTAGGAGTATTTGCAAGGAACTAGATGGTCCTACCAGCAGACTCAAGGCAGCCCAGGTCTGCCCCTGCAGACCCAGGATTCGAGGTCCCTCTCCTGCTCTGTGCGTGTGGAGTTCTGTGTCACATGCACACGCAGCTGTGCCAAGTGCCAGCTGCAAGAGGAAGAGCGAGGACATTTTATTTACAAACAGAGGGCTATGATTGGGAAGACGAGTCTTCTCATTCCCTAAACTCTTAATAAAGGACTAATCCTGCTACTGCCCACTGAAGAGAGACAGACAGGATGACAGAGTTAGGTGGCAATCCCTTTTGAACTCAACATTAAGAATGTCCTCAGGCAAAACAAGATTTCCCAGAAAATGACTAGGATGCCCAACAACATAATAATTTTCCCACTCTTCTGAGTAGTTTGAATTTTCTGAGTATAAATTAATTTTGATTAGAACAAAAGCATAAACATTATATGAATTTTTAAATTATTCCAAGAATTGGCTGCACACACACTCCCAAATCAAACTTAGTGCATAACATCTGTACATGTTGCACAGTGCCCAGTACACACAGGGCCCATCTCTTCAGAAAAGCAGCCCCAGAGCAGTGTTCTTCCAAGTGGTCCCTGGGTATCCATCAGAATTCCATGGAGGGCTCTTAAAATGCAAAATCCTAGGCCATATCCAAGGCCCTCTCAATCTGAGTCTCTGGGGTTGGGATCTAAAATCTACATTTTTAAAAGGTTCTCCCTGTAAGTGATGCTTATGTTCTCTAGTTTGAGAATCTCGTGCTTAGTAATCTCCAATAAACTGAGGGCTCCTCACAATGACAGAAGACAGGACAGCCATCAAGGGACACAAGCCAATACCAATTATGCAAAGGCAGGGCTATTTGTGACTCAATGGCTTTTTGACCACAACCCAGGATGAGAAACCAGCACAATATACACATATTACATATGTGCGTGTATGACACAACTATTTCACGGACAACACAGGTGATGTACTCTGACCTATTCTACTATATTCCCATTTTTAATGCTATTGTAACCAACTCAACTGATTTCACTACCCACTGATGGGTGATATTTGCAAAACCCTATTGTAACTTCTATTGTCCTATAATTTTATTACTTAATAATTTTTACACTCTTTCATATTATACCCCAAATAGTAGAAAACCATCCGATCTTTTCCAACAATACCCCCAAAGTTGCAATATTTGGTTACCTTTAAAAGGTGAACCAAGTTGAAACGAGATAGTCCTCTGCTCAAGGATATCAACAGCAATACATTTAACTTTTATTTATTTACATCCCTTTTATCTCATAAAGAGTAGCATGCATATTATATAAATGCAGTATAAAATAAATGAAAAATATTAAGAAAATGAAGCAAGGGGAAAATAAAGACAGGAAACTAAGTGTTTGTGGAAGGAATCAAAGGAACAAATAAAATCAATAAATACAACACAGGCTAGGAAATCCAGTCCACTTGTTAACTCTTAGCTTTCTGGTAAGTAGTATGAAGAGGAAAACACGATCAACTATGAAAATTCTAGTGCCCATCTGGGAAGAACAAAGCAATTTCTGAGAAGCATTTCCAGGCCTCTGGCTATCCTCCCTCCAGGCTGGACTGAATGCCCCCCTCACACTCCTCAGGGTAGAGCGAGCAGTCATGGTGGGAACTGGACCCTGGTTACTGCCTCCACCTTACTCCACCACTTGGTTCATGGGTAAACTTATGGTCACTCTAGGTACTGCTGATTGAGTCGAACAAAGCCTGGAGCCCTAGGTTACTGAATTCTCCCTCCTTCCAGACCACTTTGTACTCACGTCTGTCCAGCACTGACCACCGTGTCGTGATAGAAACCGTTCACAGGCTCTTCCTTCCCTCCCTGTCAACCCCACAAGATTATAAGTTCCATGAGGACAATACCGGCTTCTATGCATTTCAGTGAACTCCCTGTAAAACTGAGCAGAATGCTAAACTCTTCTAGGAATTTCCAAAAGGAAAAGTGATAGAAGAACAAAGATCTGGACTTGCTTCTTGATTCTATTGTTTACTACCTCTGAGATACTGACCAAGCCATTTGAGTTTTATGATTCAGTTTCTTATCTGTTAACCCAAGCCAATACTATTTACATTGCAGGTTAGTCTTGAGGAAGAAATCAACAAACACATGTAACGTGCCCGGCCCAGTTCTTGGCACACAGTAGGTGCTCAATAAATGTTAGTTTTCCCTTCTCCTGTGAGGGCTCTCTAAGACATTAATTTTATTTGCTGCCAGAGCCACTGTAGTCTTCATAATTCCTTCCTTCTCCTCCAAACTTACTAAAGAATAAAAATCACCCAAGAAGAAAGCAGGCTTCCTAAGAGCCATAGAACTCTCAGTGCCCACACAATGCCACCTTTGAAAAGGTTTCTTGTCATTGTTTCAACTACTTTAAGCAGGGCTTAGAGGTTATTCTGAAAGAAAAAAAAAAGATGAGAAAGGAGAGCTAGACTACGTCATTAAGTATCAAATAAATGCTTTAACCAAGCAATGAGAAAGAGGGATAATTAGTATATTCACTGTCAGAAGGCAAATGCAGTTGCTAAAACAGGATGCAGAAACATATTTGGTCTTCACTCTTCAATGGGCTGAACATCGCCTTGTTCATACTAAAGTAGCAGTTGTTGGCTTTGCAGACTCTATTTTCATGGATGGTAGAGACATAGAATTTAGACCAGCATGTCAAGTCCTGAACAGAGGAAACATCAGTTATGCTTTAATTTTCTTAAATATAAGTGTCCTACATTAAACAATGTGGTTGACCTACCTTTTCCGTGATATAGAAGTTTGAACTATCGGCATGCTGCAGTGCAAAGTATTCATGGTTGGTAAGCGACCACCTTAAAAATGGAAGCATAAACTGATCAGAAAAACAAAAGCGGTCGTTTTCTTTGTTAGAGTTTGATAAAGTTAGATGAATTAAATAGCCTATTATTGGAATTGGGCCAGTAACCAACATACCCCACAAGGCAGTTCCTAAAACAAAATGACATAAGCCTACCTTTCATTACCCTGAGACCAACCACGTCAAATGTGGATCATCTAGGTCTTATTTCCAAGCCTACTGCTCACCTTGAAGTATTCCATCTTCATGGCCTTGAGGGGGGTATTTAAATATAAAGTTACATTCCTCCCTATTTTGAAACAGTGGAGCAGAGAGAGGAAAACAAAGGAAATGAATGCAATTTAAATTTTGATAATTGTTGTATTTCAATTATCTCTGTATTCTACAATCCCCAATCAGTAGGCTTGCTGCATATTGGAACATTCCTATTAAGTTCCAGGTCTTACATAAATTCAGGTAATATTCCATTCACAGTTCTGCTTTAAAAGTAAAACACCCTCATGCAACTTCCATGTGTGTTTTTCCTTTGGATTGTTGAAGCAACCAAAGAGAAGAAGGAAAGCCATATCATCGTGAAGTTGCACAGGGCAGCGTAACCACGCACTGACTTGTCTTTTAAATTATTGTATCTTCCATGGGGACCTGAGTGGTCCTCTCAATTTATACCAGATGAAGTGTGCATTTAACCTCAGGAACTTGAGACTGCTCCCTGCTGAGGAGGATGAATGAAACAAAACTTTTCAAAATAAATAAAACCAAACCCAGTGTGCACACACCAGCCATTTCACAGTTTCTAGTCTTTGAGGAACAACAATCACTTTTTGGTGGAAAAAGGCATGTAAATCTTACACAGCAATTCTTGGTGTCTTTGGGCAGGTCAAGTAGTGACCTACGAATAATACTTTACAATTGCATGGGAAAATTTTATTTTCCTCAACTTGTAGACTGGATGAATCCTGAGTAACACTTACCCATCACAGACTTCCTTTATTATTGCACTCAGCGGTTTTTTCTGCAAAACAGCAAAAAAGGAAATACTTTCTGTTAGTTTCATTTCATCATTTAAAAAAAAAAAGAAGAAGAACCCTAGTACAAAGATATCTAAAGCAAGCAGAATTTACATTTTCTATTCTTAGTTGTTGTCAATGAGTCTGTTGTTTTTCTGAAGGTAATAATCTACCAGCCATTACCACCAAATATATTAATGATTTATTACCCTTGTGGTCCTCTTTTCTATAATTAGGATTATTAGTTGAACAAAATATACACCATATTTAACTTAGCCACATTAAAATTAGGATGAAAACATAGCTTTGTTCAAAGATCTCGTAGGCAATGAGAGCCTGCAAGGTCAAATGATAATCAGAATTCCTCAGGAGTAGTATATGCATGAATCAGGCAACCAGCAGTTTGGTTTTACGCAAACAAGCTTGGATTCGTGATATTTTTATAAGAACATGTGGCAAAGAGAATATGAGGCATTGCGAAACTGTTCCTGCAAAGTGCACAGAATTCTTCCCCTAAGCATGGCCCCGACAAACGCCAATCACGCAGCAGCTTAAGCTGGACACACTCGAGTAATGGGACCATGACACCATGTGCCGTGGTGTCAACTGGCGGCTAACTACAGCTGTGTGTTTGGCCTAACAGCCACAGCTGTGCTCTGCCTGCCCCCAGATAGAAGGAATGCAGTGAAGAGACACATGCAGAGCTTGCCCAGAGATGTCAAAATTCTTTCTGCTTTGGATGCAAACAGACCCTGTCTGTCTCCTGGGGTGAGTGGTAGTGTGTCAACCAAAAGAACAAATCACAGACGAGAAACAAATGGGGAAGAAAAATCAAAGAAATGTAACACATGGTCCTGGATTTTCAGATACAACCATAAGAAAGCCATCTACATACAAACAAGTTCTGCCCCTGTCCCTCTGAAGGGCAATGTGGTATGGGGAAAGGAATTCTGAATCAAGCACAATCAGTTCAAATCCTAGCTCTGTCAACTTGTCTGCAGCGTGACCAACAATTTCTTCAATTTGCTGAACCTCAACTAGTTTATCTGTCAGATGGCTGTAGGGCCTACCCACTTCTCAGGGTTGTTATAAGAATTAAATTACATTAAATTAAATTAAATGAGAATTAATATAAAGGGCAAAAGACTCAAAAAAGGGTTAGGACTCTGGTTTCCTTACCCTCTCATGTCAACAAAAGAACTCCATTTCCTCCTTGCATCCCTGCCCTTGGACATGATGCTACTATGTCTGCCCTCTTGGTGAGTTCATAGTCCTTTCTAAGGGCCTCTAGCCCCTACTAAAAGCTCCAACCCAGTCCTCAGTGTTCTTCCAAAGAACTTCCTCCCACTGGAGCCTCTATGACTAAGTCTGCCACCATGAGTTCAAAAAAATGTCTGCCTACAACTATAAATGAAGGGGAGAAGGGGGGACCTAGACTTTTTGAGGAGCAGAAGGATGGTGGGATATTCCTGACATCCTGAGTTGGTCTCCTTTAGAATAAGATTAGAAATGGAGATTGGGTTCTAGCTACATGTTACGCAAGTCCCAGGCCTTTGCAAGAACTTGTCCATTGTTTATGGCTTTAGCTATGAGTTGAGGGACAAATGTATTCTCACAACCGAATGACAAAGGAACTTTAGGAACAAAATGTTTCCCATAAAATGAAGATTTTGCACTTTCAGCTGCCAGAGATCTCTCCAGGCTATCAGTATTTCATGAAGACCTACCAGTCTCCTAGCCCGCTAATCGTACTTCTTGCACCCTCAAAACTGAAATATAAATAACAGCACTGTATTTCAGCCTTAAATTACATTGAAACAACAGATCAGGCCAAGAAAGTATTGCTACTGATGTAGGAGGAGCCATAAAATAAGAGCTTCCGGAATTAGACTTCTTATTGAGGTATCTTAGTGGAATTTCTGGATTTTAATTAAGGTTCATGAAGATTCAGAATCAAATTTGAAAAGACAGAATTCTATGGGGTACTACTGTATCTAGAACAGTCTGAAGTTGGATATATGAAAGGAGTAAAGACCATGGAAGAACAAAGTTTACAGATTTAATAGAAGAACATTAAAGGAAAACTCTAAACCACAGAGGAAAAGGAATCACAGTTAACTGAACATAATGCACCCATAACGCTGCCTCACCAATTAAAACCAATGTTCTGTAAGGAAGAGGCTAGTCCCACGGCCCAGTTCCTACACCTGTCCCCTCCATTTTTCTATCTGTTCTGATGAAACGCTAGCCCCCACCACTCAAATCTAATCCCAATGACCTTTCACAGTTCTCATCTTCAAAAATCCATCCACCTTATTTGACACTGTTACTACCATCTTCGTTTTGAAATCCTCTTTCCAGAGCTTCTATGAAATTTCCTTCATTCTCCTACAGGTATAACCAATAATCCTTTAATAAAATTCAAAAGATCCTTCGTTGTTTCTCTTTTACCTCTAGCTTCCTAACTCTAAATTTCTGTTCTTGTCCCTTCTGCTTGTACTTAATTGGTCAGTTCTTTATTCATTTCAACTACTCTAAGTCTATAGTTCTGGTCCCAAACACTCTCTTGCAAATCTCTGACAGTTTGTTAGATACAGCATTTTAACTGTCCTTCAGCATCTTATTAAAATATACAAACAAAAATCACCACTCACACCATTCCCCATCCATCAATCTACCCCAACAACAGCACACCCCCCAAAAAGCCCCCTACCCCACCATGACTTCTCTCATTTATGACCCCACTAATGCCCAGGGGCATCATTAACCTTTATTTCTTCACTCTCTAGGCCTCATTTATTACAAGGTTATGTAGCATTTTTCTTTGTGACCGTCACATCATTACTTCTCACCTCCTACCCACTCTTCTAAAATCCTGACATTCCTCATTTCAACTCATGCTGTCAGATGAATCTTCCCCCAATCCCATCACCCTTAATTCTGCTTCCCAGCCCCAGTGCCTTTCCTGAGTACCAGCCCATCATTACTAACTACTTGCCATAAATTTCCAACCAAATGCTCCACTGGCATATTAAACGCAGCTTCCTATCTTCCATCAGTTCCAACACTTAACTTGCCTACTTTTGGCAGTTCTTCCATGTACATTTCTAGAGAACTTATCCTTGCTTTCTCCTTTTCTTTACCCTCTTCATGTGATATACACATTTACAAGACGCTGAGTCTCATCATTACTTCCACCACAACCTCTCTCTTCTTTAGCCTATCCAGACCTTACTACCACCATTGTTAAAGCAGGATCCTGTCACTAGATCCTTGCAAATAAGTCTCCCCATCTCCAGTTTCTTTCTCTCCAGTCCCCACATTAACTATAATTAGACAAAATTAGACTTTCCCACAAACTTTGCTCATGTCACTCTTTTGCTCCAGTATCCTCCAGAGATCCCCCATGAACATCACCTATATGGTATAAATCCCTTAGCTTGTCATCCAAGGCCTTCCACAATCTGGTCTCAAGCAATCGAACTTTCTACTAAGGCTGTACACCTTCTCATGCTTCTGGATTAGTTGGTGATACACACACACACACACACACAAAATCCCTCCTCTATACTTTCACTTTACACTATTTGTTAAAATGTCCCTCTCTTCTTTCTAACAACTCTAACCATGAACTCTTACCTACCATTAATATCCATGTCAAAGCCATCTCCTCTAAGCAGATGTCCCTGATCTCCCAGAGAGATAGAACTCACTCCCTCTCTATACTCAGCACATTAAATGAATCACTCCTAAGGACTCTGTATATCTCTTATCTTCTTATCCCTTGAGAACAAGGTATCTTAATTGATCTTTGCAACCTTCTCCACCACTCAGTACTAGTTACCATAGTATATAGGTGCGAATAGGATCTAAGAGCAGACTCAATACATTTCTGTTAAACGGAAAATCCACACGTTGACTAACTTTCCTTTAAAAAACAAAAAAACGCTTGACTATAAAGCAAACTATGTTGAAGGATAGCCCGGATTAATCAGCACACGTCCCATTTCCTACCATATAGACGCCTGCTGGGTGGCCCAAAGCAGCTGACTGCTATAAGCTGTTAGACATGTGAAGGCTGTCAGTACTCTCTGCACAGACCACTCTCGAAGGAGTTATGTGGTTCATGGCTTGGAAGAGCACTGAGCAAGCCAGCTGACGAGTGTAATTCAACAGATGATAAAACAGACACCAATCAATTGACTGCCACCATTCGTTAGCAAGGCTGCACAGCTGAGTAGCACTACTCTCGTAAACATGGACTGACTGAGATACCCCAAGCAGAAAACACTATTCTGGGATCATTGTCTTTTCTCACTTCCTAGATAAAGCCCTCAGCTTGACGTGAGCTCCTTGCCTGACTTAAATTCCAAGACAAATGCTGGCTCTGACTATGTTTTAGTTAACATTTGCCCAAGGTACATAAGATGTTTCTGTCTATCTGCCCAGTTCTCTAAGATTTGGGAGTTGGGTGACAAGGGCAATACCTTGATAGCTTTCTGTAGACCCGCTGAATAATTGCCTTTCACCTCATTGAGAGAAAAGCCCAGGAGAAAAGAAAGTTTGGCCTAAATGGATGAAAACTGATTCTTCTCCCTGTGACTCCATAAACTCTACAGAAACTAAAAATAAAATTCTATACTCTATTTTCATATATCTGGACTTAAAATATCAAGGCAAAATTATTTTAACTCCTGAGTATGTTCTCATAACTTATAAACAATTGTATTAAATTCCTTAAGGTTTTCGTTTTGAAGGTCAAAACCACCTTCTTGGACCCAGCAGTGAGCTGAGATGTGAAAGCAAGAATGTTTTTAAAGATAATGTGGAGGGTTAAACAGTGTCCAGATTTTTATATGCAGGGGATCAGGGATTATGTGCCCGATGGCCCCCAGACCACACTCTTTCCCCCATTCCTTTTAGCAATGGTGAGGTCATCTTGCAGCATACGAAAGTATTTCTTCAATTTATATTATTCTGGGAAAATTTAATGTTGGCAGAAATA